TATGATAGTTATTTGTTGATTGCGGGTTTTTATTCAAAATAAAATGTTTACAATGGCAATTTAAAAAATGCGATCAATTTAAGAATCTCATATCTTTTAAAAACAATTATATGCATTTCTATTTTGATATTCAATGCACTTTTAGGTATTGAATGAATATCGTATATTTTCAGCAGATACAATTTTCCTCTAAAAGCATGAAATCCACAGTCTAAGAATTATATATTACTTAAAAAAAAAATTATGGCATCACGAAATTTGTATTGAGAAAGCCAAGATTGGAAGATAATTACTCAGCGTGTCCTTATGATGTTACAGATAGTAGTAATCATCTCCTAAACTCGGGCAATTTTCGACAGAAATTTCGTGGTGCCATAATTTTGTTGAGCAACGTATATTGATTTAACTTATTTCACCGTAACGTCGCAGCTACCTGATATTTTTTTTTGTAATCTTATCCCTCGCTGAAGATCGAGGTATGGCGAAATTAATTGTATCGTACGTATTACTTCAGGGGCGATGATGCAAGAACTGGCTCAGGCTACATTCACGTACGAGCAATTTCCCGAGGTAATGTCCATGTTGTGGAAAAGGATGTTGCAAGAAAATAAACGGAACTGGCGTCGAACTTATAAGGTAAAGCAGTCTCATTATAAACATGCATACGTAGACGCTTCATCTTTTAATTTGGTTAACGAATACATAAATACTTTTGTTACTTTCAGTCTCTTCTACTGTTAAATTATCTAGTTCGCAATGGTTCGGAACGAGTGGTCACGTCGTCTAGGGAACACATTTACGACCTTCGGTCGTTAGAAAATTACACCTGCATCGACGAATTTGGAAAGGATCAAGGAATAAATATCAGGCACAAAGTACGAGAGTTGATCGATTTCATACAAGACGATGACAAGTTACGAGATGAAAGGAAGAAGGCTAAGAAGAATAAAGATAAATACGTGGGCTTGTCGAGCGAAGCGATGGGCATGAGATTCGGTGGCGGAGACAGGTGGTCGGAGAGGCTGAAATGGGACAAGAATAATCCAAGTAACGCGGACAATTACAACGAATGGGATCGGGAGAGTAGAGGGAAAGGTTTCGAGGATACGAATAATAGCGACGACGGCGAGAGAGAAGATTCCGATAACGATGTTCATCCGAGTCCGAGGAGAGGAGGCAGGGAATACAGAGATACAATGGAGAGTATAGATCGAGTCAATAAAACTACCACGCCTACAGCTTGCACAAATCCATCGCCGGCGCGGACGACTAGGACAATTAAGAAGGTAGATTTAGGAGCCGCTGCCAATTATGGAAGAGAACAGATGAACAACGGTGTAACTGCATCGCAAACTAACGTCGTGTCCGAAAATAAGATGAATAAAAACGACATTTTGCACGACATTTTCGATTCTCAAAACGAAAATAACGCGAAATCCATCGTCGACGAGGACGACGATTTCAATCCAAGAGCGAATACTCAACCTAACGTGCAAACTCAAATCGCCAACACTGAATTCGGGGATTTCACTAGCGCGTTCGGCAGTTCTACCGTGAAAACGAAGAACAGCAACGACGAGTTCGCCGATTTCACGTCTGCGTTCAATTCCTCGGTGACGATATCTAATCCTCCAACGGTGCAGCCGCAACTGCCGCAAGCGCAAATTAATTTAATGGGAGCGACAATACCAAATGTTAATAATTCCATGCAGGATATTGTAAATAATAGCCAAACGGTGAACTCGCCTTCCTTCGCACCAATCGCCCATTTGAATACACAGAATTCGAACGTGGGTGGAAATCTGTTCGACACTTTCCAATCGCAACCGCTTTCGAACCAGCAGGTGTTAAACAACAACATAGGTAAATTATATTCAGTTTTCTAATAATTAGACTGCAAATTTTATGCATTTATGAGACAGCTGAATATGCAAAAGATAAACACTGCATGCAAATGTAAAAAGTATCGAGAGCAGAGTGCAATATTTAAATATTAAACACATTTTTTAAAGTAGTAAATATTTTACTTTACATAAAAATCGGCAGTCTTCTTTTAATTAGAATCTTTTAATTCTCAGTTTTTGGATTAGGTTTAATAAGAGTTAATGTATTTTTCCAGCTCCTTCGAACACGGACCTTCTATCAGACTTAGATAGCTTAAATGCGGAGAGGCGAATAAGCAATACCAACAATTCTAATCTATTTATGAACATGAGTTCAATGCCTGCGGCGACTAGCCCTGGAGGTAAGCGTATATTCTGATACAATATACAGTTCGTCACATAAGAATCTAATGGCAATACTTCCTTCGCAATTTATTTTAATTTCTATAATTTTTTAACGTAATCTTAAGTCAGTTGAAATTATGACAGTGAGCAGAAATTGGGACGTCTATAATATTCCTAAATTATGAATCGAAGTTGTAGCTATTTTTATTTAATTTCTGTTTATTGCTTGTTACATTTATTTAATTTCTGTTTATTGCTTGTTACATTTGGCCTAATTTTTTAAAGAAAGCATGAATTCTCAGTGTTCGTCTGTGCGTTTCTGTTATTTACTTAATATTGAGAACATGGTCGAAGATAGTGTAATGCCCCCAAAAAAGATTTTCCTTGCAGCAACCAAGATGGAAACTTCAGCTGAAAATCTTTCGAAACGTACCGCAACACGAGTCTTGGAAGAATTGTGTTCGATGGGTTCTATCAAAAGTCAGGGTAGTTTGGAAAAGCTGAAATCGTGTATCTCCGAATATGCCGAATTTTTACCCGGCCCGGTTACACCGCAGAAATTCTGCGGCCTCGATTTCGACACGGAAATCGATCCTCTATTGCATGGGAAAATTTTAGAAGAAGTTATCGATAAGTTCGAACATAATTGGCCGTTAAGAGAAGGCCGTTTAGATAAGACAATCAGAGACTTGATGATTATCGACGGTGCCACTTTACCAATATTAGCCGAGACTTTAATCGCCTTGTCCTTCGCTCTGAAGGAAACTGACGACGAGACAAAAATTCTTTCCATTTCAATGATTTTGCAGGAGTTGATGAAAAGCGATTCTTTGTTCGCCGCAATAACAGACGCCTGTAAACATCGGACTCGGAATACCATCGAAAACGAAGAATTCAACGAAGTCACGCGAGACACGATACAAAATTTAGTCTCGTTACCGAATCGAGTAGCGAATAAATTAAAAAGCAAAACGTTCGATTGTTTCCTACCTCGAACGTATTTCAAAATGATAAGTTTTCACGTTGCTCGAGCGATATCTTTCCTCAACACCAGTTCTCGTTACGGCGTTAAAATAGAATTAAAATTCCTATCGACTCTAATTAGTAAATTGATGAAAATTACAAATTCAGAGAATTTTCTACCTTTTGCTAATATTCTTGGGGAATGGGCGTCGGAGAATAAAAATAATGAAAGAGAATTAATTCAGAATATACTTAAAGCGCTGGACACGCCGAGCATAGAACCGATAGCTGTACTATTTCTTAAACATCAAAACGTGAATTCTACAATTCACCCAATTCTTGGCGACGCGATCTCAAATTCAAATTGGGAATACACATTGACTACGAAAATTCCTCTAATGTGTTATTACAACGACGATAATGTAGTAATAAATTTGGTCTCATATTTGGAACAGTTTTTACCAGAGAATCGAATTCTGATCGAATTGCTAGTAAAACTTTTACATGTTTGGAGTGATAAAAGTGCTTTAAATCATACCGGAGTGGAACAACATAAATATGTGACGAAATTGATAATTCTTAGTCTAAGAAGATCAAGAATTCACTTGAACAAAGGTGAGAAGGATAATATTCAAAGATTAGTATTCTCCGGTGTGTTTACTCATTTAGAATCTACGCATATCATTTTAAGAGCGATAGGAATGTGCGTCGGCGAAATTTCTACGGAAACGTCTGAACCGGATGCGCCAAAATTGTCCTTCGAATACGACGGTATGCCCAACGACGTACAAGATTTAGTCCACTGTTTGAAAGGTTTCGATTTATCAAATAGGAAGGCAGAATCGGAGAAAGAAGAGGGTGAAGAATTAATTATAGGAAATATTGAGTTCAATTCGCTGGCCGATAAGAAACTCTACGAACTGGGCGTCGAATGCAACATTTTACAAGAAATAAACTTGGAGGTAAATGATGATAAAAACGAGAGAATTTCAGGAGTCGCCGATTCGGATAAATTAATCACTCGAGATAAACAGATGTCGAGAGATAACGTCGGTGGGAATGAGAGTGGCTCGGAATTGGACAGTGACGATGATTTGGAACCGTACGATATGTCTCACGACACGAAGGAAAACGAGAAATACCGACCGTCCTATCTGCGAGATTTCCGCGACAATTTGGTAAACGAAAATACTTGCACGGATCCGAATATCTTCTCGGAGTCGTTGAAGGCCTCCGAGCAGCTGATATTATCTCAATTACCCAGCGACGATGTGTCGTTCGCTGTTGAATTATTAGAGATTCTTATTACTCTCAGGGAAACTTGTTACGTGGAGAATTTCGATGAATTAAAATTCAGATCTTGCGTGGCCATAACGACGATTTACCCCAAAGAATGCGTCGAGTTTTTATGCAAACAGTTCTACTTGGAAATCGATAAATATTCCGTGGGCGAGAGATCATTCTTTCTCGACGTGTTAGCGGAGTCTGCGAGAAGATTGTCGTCTATCCCGGTTCGTCAAGATAAGCGAGATGTTGTCGAGGTGGCGAGGACTGATCATAGGAAGAGAGCAGCTACGGGCAAAGTATCGCTTTTCATCGACACTGATAACACGAAACGGTACACGGTTCTAAATACCGATGATGTTTATGATTTCGAAGCACCGGTCAATGATCAGGTCGAAGATTGGCGTGAAATCGTCGATAAGAGGATCGAGTCGAATACGAGAAGGTTTGCGCATAGTACGAAGCTTCCTAAAACGTACGAGAATAAATTCGCCAATTTTGCAACCTCGTTTTTCTATCCGTTGCTGTATGGTTTTGGTAAACAGGGCACTTGTTTGTATAGCGGGTTACAAGTTTACACGGATCAACAGAACATTTTACTGATTCGATTTTTGAAAACCGTGTCCACTATAATGGTAGCGGCTGAGAATTGCGTGTCCGTTTCGAAAATGGGCAAAGAAGTATTGGAGATGTTATGGGCTTTGAGGTATCACGACGAGGCAAAAGTTAGGATGGCGGTGATAGAAAATGTTGCAGCCGTGCTAGTCGCGGTGCCTAACGATTCTATTAAAAGCGAGCTATTCGAATCTATTATCGAAATAAGATTGTGGCTGTTAGGTTTGTTTCAAAATGTAATCACCGGGGATCAAGACAAAGAGTGTAGAAATCTAGCTGCTAAAGTGGTGTCTCTAATCGATTCCATTATAGGCTCGTTAGTGTTCGATACATAATTACCAACAGAATGTTGACAAAGCGATCATTTTTCCATTACGGAGACGTGCCAGTCTAAATGCTTTTAATTGTGTAGGACTTTATACCTTTTCGTAGAGTTTTAATTCATTCGTTGCCTACTGAAAGTACAATTTTTGTTACATGTATCATTTATCAAATTTAAGTACTACAAGCATATTTCATACGTCAAATAAACAGAAGTTAAAACATAATTCAATGATAGCTTCTAATTTTATATATGTTTATTAATTAGTTTCCTTTCGGGATGTAATCTTATTCAACTTTATACTGTCTTAATCTACCTTAATCTATCCTTTAACTTCGCTCCAGTATATCACCTACTCCTCTTTGTTTCTCTCTTCCATCTGTACTACACGTTTCTCCAGCACGTGACTCTAATCTTCCATTATAAATCTCATTCATAGTTTCTACATTTTATCCCAGTACCTCCCAGATTTAATTTCATTCAAATTTGATCTTTTTCATGTTCTAATGAATTACTTACAATACATACAATATGAGAATAACACCTGATTTGGAAAGGATGATATTAAAAAGAAAACTATTACGATTTAGGGACGAGTGGATTAGCGCCGGTTACAAATCTCCTTATACCCACGTCTATTAACTCGAAAAATCAAATATCAAGTAATACGTCTACGCAAATTGGTTCGACATGGGCTGCTTCGGGATTAAACATAGATCTTGATAATATAATGGGAAATAAAGGTAAACAATCAGGACCCGCGCCGACGATGAATCAACTGGCAAGCAACAGCCCGCAGCATCAGATTAAACTTATATGTAAGTAATTTATCAACGATATTAAACTCCTATTGTTAGTTTAATAGAATACAATCATAACTAGACTGCAGGTGTTTGTGCATTTATGAGAATTTTTCTAATATGTAAAGAAATGTAAAGTATTCAAAATAAAATACAATTTATGATAAAATACGAATATTTATATGTATTTTTAATTTTATTTACAAAAATATAAATTTGCATA